AAGGACAGGACAACCTACGCTCTCATAGTTACGTTTTAGTAACTTTTTTAACTACCAAAGAAGATTTATAGTTTAAAGTTGGTCTTAGCTGTTATTTGGTGATCTGCAGACTATAGACATAAAGATCAACAAGGTAAAACAAATGATTTGCTGAAAAATTATAAGGGTTCCATTTATTCTTGAAAAATTATAAGGGTTTCCATTTATTCTTGAAAAATTATTTGGTCTTAAATTTATATTATTTAATAATTATCAGGTTTTCTCTTTGCTTGTATACAGAGAGTTCAAGCCACACCTGCTCATGGTCTTTGCTCAGGTAGCCTATACCTGGAATACTCAATGCAACGATTGTATATTAATTTTTTTTGGCTTTGAGGAACCTGTGCTAAGAAATTATACCAGACTTAATTATTATTAACTAAATGAGGATGATGAGGATTGAACCGTGACACCGAGGCTCCTTTACCATATAAAAATTAATTTAATCCAAAAATTTAAACTATTAGGTGAGATTATATTAATAATTTTATACTTCTCTTACTTTAACATAGAGACAAATGGCAAAGGAGGTGGTGGAAGAAAAAAAAAATGGTAATGAAAATTAGTTCTACCATCATCAATGCCACAAATGTTGATAGACGAAAGATCATAATATATATGGCAGCATCTTTTGCACTGTCAAATGTGCCAAGCCAGTCCTAACCCGTATTTACACTTTGGCACATAAACAAAGTCATAACATCTTTTTAATTAGGATAGATTGTAAAATTGATTTTAAATTAATCAACTTTAAGATTTTGAGTTTGTTATTGTAAAGAAAAATGATTTCTAATTAATTAAGCTACTTTTTAAAATTGAATTTGTCAGACTTACGAGCAGAGAAGAATAAATTACACGAAATACGTGTCAAAATGGAAGCAAAATATAATACTATAATCAAATAAAGAGAGATAACAATACAATCTATAATTTTTTTTACATCTTTTTGATTTTTATTTTTTTTAATTTTTCATTAGTGATTTTCTGTCTTTTCATTTAGTTCTAATCTTCCGTTCAATTTTGCATTTTAAATTTTCATAGTTTTTATCTAATCAGTAATTTACCAAAAAGTCCAATTTCATCTTTTATTTAATTAGTAACTAAATCAACTATTTTTACTTGATGTGATTTTGTAAGTGTTGATTTAATTTTAGTCAAACAATAACAAGACTGGTTGTAAGAGGTGATAAAAAAATGTGGTAAATATAATCTTTGCTTATTTAATTATTTTTTTACAAAACTTTTATTTTTTGAAAAGTTTCCCAAATACTTAAAAAAAAAAAAAATTCTCCTTCCAACTTCCCCTAGTTCATACTCTATAGCCTATGGATAATTAATGTAGATTGGAAAATCTTTATCACTATTTTTATTAGAGTTAGGATATTCTAACTACCTATTTTTTCTACTACCACTTCACTACTACTCTAATCACCATTTGATTAAAGGAAAAGTTGAATGAAGAGAGAGAAAAAGAATAACTTTTGAATCCTGGTAGTGGAGTGGTAGTAGAAAAAATAAGTAGTAGGAATATCCTACCTCTTTTTATTATAGGACAATTTTGTGGGCCAAGTTTTTATCAAATTTGGTTTTGCTACATTGATTATCCGTAGCTAGGGGTGTAAATGACAGTGAGGCACGCCAAATTTGAACACTAAGATATTAATGCACCTCAAAATCTTAACACTACTAAATCTCTTCCTCCACAGATATAAAACCCCTTCAACAGAAATGTTTTCATAATACCGAAACTACCAGCAGAAGGATTATAGAGGGAGTTGATAACAATTTGTTTCATGAATATGTCGTTTGGCAAGAAAATGTTCCTCCAAATTATCTTGTGCTTTTCCTTGATTTGTCTCAGTTCCCAAACCCGTCACTACAATTTTGTTGTGAGTCCCAGCACATCCTGCCGATTCCTTAATACATCTAGCGGAACTGGTGAAATGTTATGTTGCAATCGTAAGTCGTAACCATGTAAATTTTACATTTAGTAGTATCTTAGGTTGTAACTGACATAAGAGTATATAATAATAGTAATAACTGAATTGATTAATCTTGCAGGTGAAAGAAGCCCCGAAATACTCCCGCGAAGTCTTAGAAAATATCACCACCATTTCTATTAACACCTTTCCATGCCCTAGTGGCATGAACAACGTAAGTTTTGAGACCCCTAGCTTTGACATATATACAAGAAGCCTATTACTACCATATAAGTGACCCCATGTATTAGAATGTCATTAATCCTCCTCTATTGATCAATGCAGAAATAATTTCAACAATAGCAAGGACCCCCACGAATTACAAACCACCATTTTTTTTTTTTCATTTTCATTTCTGAACTAGTAATTGAGTTTAACAATGATATATATTACTTATTTCGCAGGAACTTGATGCAAGTATATATGATGGTTAGGTAAGGTACTAGAAGCTCAGGACTTACTCAAGGGCCAGGCCCTCAGAATAAAGAATTGCATGCGCAATTTCCTCTAAGTAGTCTGAACATATATAAGCTAATTGTCATAGCTTTAGCTTTCTTCCCTATTTTCTTTCTTCTTTTGCCATTTTATGATGTAGTCGTATACGTATGGGCATAATTAACTATTTATGCATATATAGAAAGCCTGGCATGTAAATCCACATCAATATAACAATTAGCTTATGCTTTAAAATTATTTGGTTCAACTCGTGAGCTTCTTATTTTACTATTAGACTGTAACGGGTCAAGCCTGCAAACGACTCAAAAAGCCCAACATGGCAACATCGGACTCAAGCACTTTGCGAATTACTAAATGGGTCCAAAGCCCAATACAGCTCTTTTTTGGAGTTACCCAACCCTAATTACCTCTCTGAGGCGAGTTGGCTCCCTCCGGTATCCCCACGAGTTTCGACTCTTTGAGCCGGCTATGGAACTAATCCGGAGTGCGGGGATCAGTGATGGCTAAAGGTTCAGCCCTCTCCCCAAGAATGCATTCATCAGAAATCGAACACATGTCCAACCTCACTAACCCAGCGCCAAGTTACCAACTGAGCTGCACCCATTGGGTAGCCCAATCCAGCTCTATCTCATTATCTGTAAGCCTTTTTTTTTTTTTTTCATTATTTGTAATTATTATTGTTTGAATTGGTTTTTCTTTATCTCATTATCTGTAATTGCTTCTGTTTCAATTAGTCATGATAATACGATTCTGATTGTAGTTTTGTTTTATTTTTTCATTCACGAAACTAAGAAAAACTAATTCAATTAAACTTCTTTTACTATTAAATTAATGAAAATACAATCATATATATTTTCCTATTAAGTTATTTTCTGTCACTGGCTACATTTATCGTCACATTTATTAAAATCCGATCGTGTTATATTAATTAAAAAATGTAGAGGCGCATCCCCTACCGAAATTTTTTTGAAGAGACGCGTTTAAATGATATATACAGTAGTATTAAACTACTTTTAATTTTATTATCATTGACATTAATAACGAATCAAATACCATAAACTTTGAATTTGGTAAATTAATTACATGGAGTGAAATAATAATAAATTGAATCTAATTTTAATAAAATAAGAAAGAGTAGTTGCAATTTATTAAAAGTCTAAGATTAGTACATAATTATAATATTAAAGTTATTTTTCTTTTCTCTTTTAATATGTTAGCCAATAATTTCTGACAAAAAAAATAAAAAAATAATGTAATATTATAATTATGTACTTTTCAAAATACATAATTATAATATGACTCTTTCACTGAATGCAACAATTGTATATTAAGTTTTTTGCTCAGAGCCGCTAGAGAATAACTGTAAATAACTAAATATTATTTTTTTTTTACCATAAACGCTACACACATTAACTATACCTTTCTTAATTTTGCTTTAAATGCTTGTAAAAGGGCGTGGGCAGGCACCCAGTGCGAGATAAAAATTTAATGATAAATAAAAAATTATCAAACTAAAAAAAAATCTTTTTCACCCTCCAAGAACTGAAAATAAAATAAATTATAATAATACAGGGGCAGATTATATTCACAAACTTTTTTATTTACAAACTCTTATAAACTACATTAAATTTTTTATTTATAATAAACTTTTTTACATGGTATCAGAGCCTCGCCGCCCCTCATTTTCTCTTGTGGACTTTTGTAGTACAGGTAGTCTGGGCCTGTTGCATCTTCCACTTTTCAAGCCCAATGGGCTCTCGTGTGAGGGAGTGTGTTGAGATATATAGTCCCACATTGGTTGTATGTGCAACTAATGTGGAGTTTATAAGGCCTTGTGCACTCCCACTTTTGAGCTAGCTTTTGGGGTGATGACCTCAAGGTTCTTTACATAGTATCAGAGCCTCGCCGCCCTCCATTTTTCTCTTGTGGTGTTTCTTAGCACAGGTAGGCTGAACCTGTTGCATTGTCCACTCTTCAAGCCCAATGGGCTCTTGTGTGAGGGGGCGTGTTAAGATATATAATCCCACATTGGTTGTATGTGCAACTAATGTGGAGTTTATAAGGTCTTGAGCACTCTCACCCTTAGAACTAGCTTTTGGGGTGGTGTATCCCAAGGTTCTTTACGTACTTAGTGTAATTTGCAAAAAAAAGTTTGTAAACAGATCCTATCTCATAATACAAAAAGGAATTGAATTAGATGCATTAATTTTTGTTTTTTTGAATTGGATGCAGTAATTTAAATTGGTATAGAATTGTTGCTGCTTGAATAACGCGGCGATGAAAAGTTGACATGCAGCCAATTACATTTGTAACACTGAATATTCTGGAAATGAAAGCCAACGAACTTTTGTTGACAAGTGTAACATAAAATTCACATTGATGATACATAATCCCTAATGTTCACTTTTAAAATGGTAACACAATTTTGACACGATGAAAAAAAATTAGAGAACATAAAATACACTTTAATAAAAGTTTGGAGTTAAATGTAGTCGTCATATTGGAACAACTAGGGTGCTGCTTGAATTAACATGGTGGCATGTCTGGTGGTGGTGGCAGCATCTGCTCTTCAGGGCAATTACCATTTTTGACAATGAAAGTCGTGGCCATACCCCATGTGGCATGACGCTCTAAATGACAATGCATGAACCATACACCTGATCAAATAAAAACTATTAGAAAACCACCACTGGAATGACAAAATCAAATTAATAATAAGTAAATAATATGTATAATTAATATACCTGGATTTTTGGCCCTGAATCTTATGGCTGTCCAACCACTTCTTGGTATAGCTACAGTATTCTGATAAGGAGGGTCTACAAGATTATATCTCAAAGGGTCTTTAACCTTGTCAAAGTTCCCAAATCCCCATCCAACCACATAGAAACTGTGGCCATGTAGGTGCATAGGATGTTCTGTACCTCTCAACAAGCTAGTCCCCTGAAGAACAAGCTCCACTGTTGAGTTATACTCCAATACATTTACCTCTGTTGCCACTGATGGAGTCCATAAAATTGTAGAAAGATTGTTACCAGTATAATTAAATATCAATGGTGGCACATTAGGGAATTTTTCCCCAAAGACACCACTAATATTGTTATAGTAAGCTTGCAAAATGCTATTCCTCGATGGCAATTCAAAGCTTACATTGTTCATGCTAGCTGCTAGACGATTTCCAAGGGGACCATGACATGTCGAACCATTTGCACATGGTACTGAATTCATCGAGGTTGTGAAGAATAGGTTGGTGCTTATGTTTAATGGCACATCAATTGGGTGTTCATTATTAGCCAAACTTCTTAGTTTGCTTAAGAGGTTAACTGAGGCATTGGTGTCATTGATACCTGGAAGTAAAGGCAAGGAAGGGATAGTTGAAGATGGAATGTACTTTCCCCTGTATTGTACAATAGCAGTGGTAGTGGTGGTATCAATTGCAACCCCAATAACAGCCCCAAAAGCGCTTGTATAAACTCTAGCAGCCATGTAATAACGATCTAATTTTTGGTTTGCTTCGAGTATCACATCCATTGTTTGTCCAGGTGATATTGAGATGTAATCTACCTTCAATGGCTTTACATAGCTACCATCTGTTCCTACCACTGTGAGTTGATGTTTGGCAATGGCAAAGAAGACTGTGTCCTGAATTGCCGCATTCACAATTCTCAGAAGATACGTTTTGCCATAATCAACCTTAAGCTTGAAGGTTTCTGCAATTTTATTAACAAATTCAAACATATATATGTAATTAATTAATATCCAGTCACTCAAAGTATCCTTGCATGAATGCAATGGCAAGGGAAGGATGTCAAGCGTGTATATATATGGCTGGATCATTTCAAGCTAATGGAAGATATATTCTTAATCTTAGTCATTCATTTATATCTAATTGTTAAGGTGATTAATAAATTAGAGCTAATAGATACAAGTTGATTAACAGTTAACATTGATTGTAAAATTTCTTCTTCCCACACCATATGTAAGTTGATCATGACTCATATATGGGTCGAGATTATTTTACATTCATGTAACTTACTCTCTCAATCTTAGTAGATGATTTCACTTATATCGTATTTAGTTCCAAATATATATAGGGAAGGTTATATTTACAAATTTTTTGTTTACAAATTTTTACAAATTACACTATGTCTGACCTGTCATACTTCAATCAAGAGTATATGACTGGTCATACTTAGTATAATTTGTAAAAAAAAATTATAAACATGTGCGGGGGGGGGGAGGGGGGGCTGCATACCGTTCTTTGAGCATGGAAGTAGATCACCAGGTTGGCCATTGATTGTATAAGCATCAGAAATAATGGGGTCGTCTCCAGTTCTAAAAAGATCATTGTACACCTCAACAACATCTTTCTTCCACCATTCACCTAAATTTACAATTAAAAAGAATTATAGTAAATCCCAATGGTTGAACTTTTCTAAATGATAATTAGTCCAATTAAACCCATGTAAACTTGTTCATACATATATACCTAATATAATGGGGACCTCTTTGTGAGGTTTTGGAAATGGATAGGTAGTCGGAGGCTTAGGTTTGATAACAATAGCCCCATGAACGGTGGCCCGAGACCAGTCACTGTGAGCATGCCACCACAGTGTGCCTTCCTCTTCAGAAAATATGACCCGCTGACTAAACTTTTCACCGGGTCGAATTGGACATTGTGTGACATATTCAGGGCCATCTGACCAAGGATATCTTGGTTGGTTCACTCCATGCCTGAAAGTGACAGTTAAATTTTCTCGGGTATATATATATATAAATATAATAGGATATGTTATATTCTACTTATATTGTTTTCAAATCTATCTTATCTATCATTTTCTAATATCATTAGAATTTTGATCTAACAATGTTGGAGAGTGGTAGATAAGATAAATATAAAAAAAGAAGATAAATAGAATAACTTATCCCATATATAATATACAATATATATATATATATATATATCAATGAGTTATTAGGTGATTACCAGTGGATAGTTATGTTGTAGTTAGCTCGGTTATACACATCAACAATGATATTCTCTCCTTTTGTAACATGCAGGGTTGGCCCGGGAAATTGGCCGTTTACAGTCAATATGTTCTTTGTGCTGCAAAGTTTTGTGTAGGGGGCATCTCTGACCTGCAATATATTACATGCATGAATATATATATCATGTTATGAACTTTTATTTTATTTTTTTGGTCTTAAGCTAGCTATATGTTAAAACCACAAAAACATACCACAAACTTATAATGCCTTAGCGCCTGGCAAGTGAGGAGGAAATTGAGGAACAAAATTCCTAAATTTTGTAGCATTGTGATTTTCATGGAGAATCAGACTAGGAAAGGCTTGATCTGATAGTTAATTAGTTTTTCTGTTTGATACGAATATTGGAGGAGTTCGTTATGGTTGTATATATATATGTATAGCTTGGTTTTGAAATGGTTATGGTTACGCGTGAGAATATTATTGAATTGGATAGCATTGCTCCATTTGGGGGCTTGCGGTCCTTTAACAAGTCTTTTATGTGTTTATTGAAACAATACACGACATATTTAAAATGTAGTACGCAGATACAAGCATCAAAAGAATATGTTCGCATCATCTCTGTATTTTGTATATAATAATCAATTCAAAGTCGCTAACAACTGGATATGTAAAGTTGACTTGGCTGATCAATTTTTTTTTTTCATATATAATTTAGTCTAGAGTTGCCGATTATTGTTATTATTATTATTTTTAGTGTTATGTAATGGCTTTTCTACTATTTGGCCTTAGAGCTGCCATTTTATTTTATTTTTCATTAGGTCTTGATCGTGTACAATGATGGACTTAGATAAAGGGTAATATGGACGGCTACCTCTCCCTAAATTTTATTTTATTTATTATTTTAATTATAATAGACTATTAGTACTAATAGTGAGTCCCTCCTACAAAAATATTTATAATAGTTAGCATTTCTTATTACTCTTAATAATATTTATAATTTTAAAATTTTATTTTCATCCCCTATTATAAAAAAATTCTGGATCCGCCCCTAATCGTGTAACTTTTCTATTGTTTGCAATTGAGTTTTTTCCTCAACTTTTATGATGTTTGATCTTGGAGAATAGGTTTTCTTTGAAGTCATATAAGACTATCTCAATTGTTTATAGATAAATTAATTATTATAAAAACATACTAAAATAAAAAAATAGAAAATAACAATTAATTAATTTATAAATGATCAAAATTATTTCATATGACCTCATATCATATAAAAGGATTATTATCTTGAATTGATTATTTATTTTTGTTTTATATTTTTTAAATAAATCGATCCTTGTTTCGCCTAATTTTTTTTTAACATTTAACCTTTGGTTATCTATCTTTTTGAATAACCAGTGTTTTTTGTTTTTTTGTTTAAGTGGAAAACCCAGTGTTGTTTTAAGTCTTGAGTTGCCTAATTTTTTTTATTTTTTATTTTGATAACATGAGTTGCCTAATTTTGTTACGGGTAGTCTCGTGTTTTTAGATGCATTTTGTTTTTCTCTGTCATTGGGCCTTTAGTTTTCAAATCTGTTAATATTTGAAGGCATCACGTACGCGGATACGAAAGTTGATATCTTGATGAGAATAGAAATGGAGCTGAGAATAGAAATGGAGCGACCAGTTGTTATGTAAATTGTCATGACATAATCACATGCTATGAACTTTAATAAACTTACGTGTCGTATCCGAGGACACCCCCGACACTCCAATTTGCAAGATTCGAAAAAGGATTTAAAAGTTACGTTATATTTTATTTTTAATTTTAACTATTAGATTCATTAAATTATGATTATTATTTTATTGAGTTTAATAAAAATATTTGTAATATCTTACTTTTTGTTGTTGTTGCAAAATCGACAAGTATTATAAGTTTAATTTTATTTTTTTTGTTAAATTATTGAATATTAAATATAATATAAACTATATAAATTAAAAATATTATTTAATATCAAAACGTGTTCTAACGTGTCGAAATCTAATATTTTTTAGAATTTACGTGTTGAGTGTTGTATCGTATCGTATCCTGTAACCACTTGGTGGTGAGTTGGTGCCTTGCACCAGCTGATTTTTTAAAATGTTTCATATTTTCTTAAAAAAATATGTATAACTTTAGTATTAGTTAGATTTTTAAAAGTGATATAACATTGACATTAGCTGAATTTTTCTAATTAAATCTTTTGGTACCAATTGTGTATTTATCCAGGCTCCGCCAGGCAACTTAGATCACATGGGCGACAGTCCAAAATTTTTAAAAACAAACAATTAATTATTTAGGGGAGGTTGCCGCCTAACTTGATTTGATCAACAAGGAACGCGGGCACGCGCAAGCATGAGTGATTTTAAAGAAACAAAATAGATCTTGATTAATTTTTTCTTTTGTGTTAAAAATAAACTACAAAATTAAATTGGGTATAGAATTTTTTGGTTTTAAAGAATAGTTTTTATTTAGGAGAAAGAGTCGCATGAAATTTGTTTATTAATGTCTTAAGAAAATCTCCTTAAGTATCCCATGTCCCAGTTTGAATTTGTCGCCACAGTGCACTCAGCCCATGAGTGATTTCGTTATCGTGACGGATTTCTGACATCCAAGCTTTATACTGGGGGTGGGATTTCATTACATAGACAAAGTTTCCGGAGAAGAAAAATTTTGATCGTCCTGGATCATCATTAATTTAGTGGTCCAAATCAATAATGAAGAAAAAGAAGAGAGGAGAAATAAAAAATAAATTTTTGTACAAATGTCACTAAGAACCACATAGGGCTTGGAGCACTAAATTTTTTTCCTTTCTCAAAATGTTTTAATGTTTGCTGGAGGATTACCACTTACCATGTTTATTTTCGATTTAGTATTATTATTATTATTATTTTTTTTTTTTTATCATTTTTTTGGCATTTTAGCCCTCCTTTTGTGACAATTTCTTTTTTAACAAAATATATATAAAAAAAATCAATCAAAATTGGGTGGTGGCATTTACGCCTTTTTACTTGTTCTTTCAATTAAAAATAACAAGCAAAGTAAAAGAAGCAACTAGTTTTATTCGAATGATAACTAACCTTTAAATGTGAACAAATTTGTTGACTAAAGGCCCAATGACAAAAATTTTCCTCCCCCTAAAACACTAGGTAGAAACACAACGACAACACTGGGTTATTAAAAAATAGACAACTGAAATAAAAAATAAAAAATAGAGAACTCAAGGCTAAAACAAAAGAAAAGTTAGACAACTCAAGGCCCAGATATTTCGTTTTAGCCCAGATACAATAGCCTTACTATTTGTTTTAGCCCTTTGCACGATCCAAAGGCCTACGCCGGCCCAATAATCAAAACCATACATCAAATTCACAATGAATACTGTCATGTTAAAATTCAATAAACACACGTAAAAGATTATGAAGTGTAGTTCTATACCAGTTTTTTTTTTTTTTTTTTTTAAAGATTTTTTGTTTTTTTGTTTTAGGGTAAAGTTCTCTATATTGCTGATATTACCATGGAAAATGTGAGTGAACCCCTGACAATTAGGATAGCCCAATTAAAAGTAAATAAACAAGGAACTAGAGAAACAATAGAGACTAAACACTCAAAACCACTCCTCGTTTAACCCGACTAATGAGTGTGAGGTGGAGGAAATCCTTCTACGTAGCCTTACTCTTGCATAATTATAAAGAGGCTGTTTTTTGGATTCAAACTCATAATCTTTCAGTCATGAAGGAACAGTTTTACCACTGCTCCGATTCGCCCTCTATGATAGAGACTAAACACTACAAATAAATGTCTAATGCAGTTTTTTTTTTTTTTTTTTTGTAATAATGTCTAATGCAGTTTTACCTTGTAGGTAAACAGAGAGACTTTAAAACATTCAGAACAAGAAGACAGATCATCAGTGCAAGGGGCTAACTATTTTCTAAAAAATGTTTTATATTTAATATAGATAAGTAATATCAAATTTTTTATTTTACGTTAGGTATAGTTTGCTTTGGCTCAATATATTGATACTCCTGGTTTTGTCTTTTTTAAGTCAAATGATCACATGATGGGATAAATAGGAATAATTTTACAGGCCTCAAAACCATCTCAATACCTAATTGTTTCTTAAATTGATATAAAGTCTTAGGGCCACTTGTAGGTGTATCATGAAAATGATTGGCACATGCATTTTATAAAGAAAATAAAAATGTAGACAAAATACTGACACGAACAACAATATTTCGAAATAAAGGCGTTTACTTCTTCACAAGCATTTAACCATGACTTGTTTGTCTTAAATACAACCGATCATTAACGAAATGAAAATCACCAAATTTTGAAGTTTTCGTACATGTGAAACAATCTTTTTCGGGATCTAGCATTTAACCCAATAGCTATGGATAACGACGAATCTGTTTCTCTTAAAGAGAAATGATAATATGCAAGAAAAACAGAAGAAATGACAATTACCCTAATAAGGAACATCCTATGAGAAAGTAAGATTTCTTTCTTTTCACTTAATTACTATTAGCCTCTATAAATCTTTGGATTAGTAGTTAATTACAGATTGATTGTCAAGAGAGATTTAATCCTAAACTTTTATACGCTACCTTCCACTCAGATTTGCTTAAAGAATCCCCCTTAATTTTCTCTGTCATCTAGTGAATTAAACGGCTAGCTTGGCCTCTTGACTCTTATCTTGATAAACATGACAGTGAGGCGCACCAAATTTGAACACTAAGATTAATGCACCTCAAAATCTAACTCTACTAAATATATTCCTCCACAGATATAAAATCCCTCCAACACAAATGCTTTCATAATACAGAAACTTTTAGCTGAAGGGTTATAGAAGGAGTTGATAACATTTTCTTTAATGAAATTGTCGTTTGGCAAGAAAATGTTCCCCCACATTATGTTGTGTTTTTGCTTGATTGGTCTTAGTTCCCAAACACTACATAGTCACTACAATTTTGTTGTAAGTCCCATATCTCATCCTACCGATTCCTTAGTACAATTTTGTTGTTACATGAAACTGTCTATTGTGTAATTCTTCTTGAAGTACATGTGTATATGTTACATATAGTAGTAGTATCTTGGGTTGTAGCTGACATCAGAGTATTTAATAATTGTAATAACTGATTTGATTAATCTTGCAGGTGAAAGAAGCACGGTATACAAGACTCTGTTCAACAAAAAGCATATTGACTGTGAATGGAAAATTTCCTGGGCCAACTATAAGTGTCCACAAGGGTGATACAATTTATGTTAATGTTCATAACAAGGGCAAATACAACATCACTTTACACTGGTATTTAG